TATTTTTTTACAATAAGTTCAGCATCACTTGATTTTTTGTTGAAGACCGGCCAATTAGCGGATGCATGAAACGAGGAGCTGTGTGATCCAACATTCAATTGAGAGTACGATGTTTTTAACGAATTTGAGCTCTTGTAGAAGCAGAAAATATTTTGGATACACCACCTGTACACCACCATGGGAGAGAGAATTATGTGTTGATAGAGGAGCTGGAAACGGTACCTGTTTCATTTTTTCGTGCATACCAGGTCTGGACTTAAAATGTTTTTCATGCCCGCAATTGATTTGAATACGCGATAAAAAGAGGACTATATTTTAGCTGTCTGTTGTTGAAGTTTTTGCGTTAAACTCAGGCTTGACTGTTCAAGTTGCTGTAAGTTCCACTATGTCCCGCTCTGTTTGGTAGAGCATAAAGTAAGAAAAGCAGTTCCGAATTAATTTTGCTTTAATATGATGAGTACAGGAAACAAGAATTCATCATCATCAAGATTAAAAGTTTCATTCAACACAAAATCCACGCACAAAATTTGAAGCTGCTGAGGACTTATCTTCCTGGTTACTTTTTTCATTTACTTTTTTGCTCTTAATTGGATCTCAAATTATTCTGCTTTTTCAACTCTTCTGGCGGCAGCTGTTGGAGAAGTTGGTAGTGTCAATAACAGCAGACACTAATTAGTGATCAGTAGAGTAAAAAACACAAAAGTAGTTTTAAAATTATGGAGATCAAAATGAACAAAACACATTTGTGTAAGACTGATAAAACAGCCAAACGCTGTGCTGTGGCTCTCGATTATAGGTGTTGATGTTATCACTATTATTTCGCTGGTATGGCTGGAACGCGGTCAAGATTTTATATTAGTGAAGGTTTTTACAATCTTTGGTTTTGGGTTATGGTTGCTGCTTACTTCACATTCAACGCAGAAGCTGACGCGAATAATAAAAATGACGTCGCAGGGACGAAAATACTGAGCAGAGAATTTCAGTAACTTGGTGGCAAAGCAGGTTTAAAGTAAAATACAACCTGTCTACTTCAAATTGTATTTGAAGTCTAAGTTTTGCTTCCTTTGTGTCACAAAACCAAAGTATGTGAGAAGAATTTCTTGACAGGTAAAACAACGTTTTTTTCAAATTAAAGGAGGAAATATTGCACAAACGTAAGGAACAAAATACTGTTAAAGAACAAGAAATTTAACTTTTTTGTTTTGATACTTTTAGATAAATGAGTGAGTAAAAGTTTAAATTATTTCAAAGAATCTCGAAGTTTATGGACGAGAGAGTGATGTCTGTTATCACTGAGTTCAATATCAGAGCGGGAGTTATACAGAGGAAAAAAATAGTTATTTAGTTTAAAAAAAAGTACGCTTTAGCTAAATAAGGTAAGAGTAAATTTGAATGACTTTTCAGATTTGGCTGGAGAATAACAAAGACATACTGCTTTAGCTAATAACACAATCTCTGCTTGCAAAGGAACAGTAAATAGCTGACAGTTTGTAGTGTATAGCTGTTTTCTAATGTCCTTCTTTCAAACTGTAGAAACAACATTTGGGAAATTAAGCTCTGAACGGTTATAACTCGTAATGTTTTCAAAAGGTTGTAACATATTCTGGTTTTTTTTTTAAAGTTTTGAAATTTAACATTTGGTACTGCAAAAGCTTTTTATTTTTTAGAACGTTAAGTCGTGTTATTTACATTTTCACAGTACGCCTACTATGAAACGAAAGTTACAAGCTTATATGGCTAAAGCTACTGTGCGTATGTATTTGTTTGACTGTTTCTTACCAGCATACCTTTTTTTAAGTTCGCAAGCACTTGCCTACCTTCAGCTTTCTAAAATTACACGTTAGTCGTTCTTCTGTCATTATTTATCGTTTTTTTATAATCGGCTTAAAATAGTGTATCTTACTCTCGGAATTAACCATGTAAACTGTCATAAGCTTTTTCACCGATAAAGGTTATTTTGTTGCTTTTCTCTACTTAATATCGTAAACAAATTTAAAATCTTGTGATCTTTGTTTTTACACTAACTTTAGGTCTCTTGACGCTATTACAGGAAGCTTTTTGTAGAATTCTTATGCTAATTCTTGGGTAAAATAAAAATACCTTGATGACGTTGCTGCCACCAAAAAGGTATACTGTTATCTAACAAATAAAAAAAACCTATCAAAACGGGAATGTCTTTATTGCTTTTATTACCAAGTAATAAAGGTTCTTGTTGTTACTTTATTCACATATCAACAATGTAACTGCTTCTTTTCGATAACGCTGAACACGCTTTTTTATTTGTTTTTTATTTTTATTAATGCTTTTTTAATTTTAACAAAAGTCTTCGTATGTTTTTTGTCATACTAGATGTGACATTTGTCTTTTTGGTTTTTATTAACTTTTTCATGACATTTAAAACAGCAATATTATTCTGATTTTCAAAATATTTAGCTGTATACTTAAATGAAAGCATAAATATTAGACTGGAGATTTAAGCTGAAAAGTTCCCGTTTTTTGAAATTTCTAACTGTTACAGCAGTTAATCCTACTGTTTATTTGGTCAGTGGCATTCAAAAAGTTTATTATATTCTTATGAGTAACTTTTGATTTGACAAACGTTTGTTTTGTGAAAGGCTGTATTTATTTTTCTTTTCGGAGTTTTTATCTCGAGATTACTTATTCTATTTTCATTCTCACTGATTACTGTAGAATAACAGAGAATTGTCAAAGTTTAGTGATGGAAGAAGTAATAAAGTGTGTTGTGGTTGGCGATGCGAGGATTGGTAAAACTGATCTGCTGAAGAAATTTTCGAAAGGACGTTACATACCTGCAGATTATGAATCTCAGCATATTACGTCATTTGAAAATTGCAATGTATGATTATTTCACTGTTTCTGTACTAAAATGTGTGGACGAACTATACTGTTGAAGCATGAAAAAACGCATTTAAACATATTGTAATAGAAAAATGGCATTTTTAGGTGGAGGGCGTGACAGTCGATGGAGAGCCTTACTGTTTAAAGTTATTTGATACTGGTTCTCTTGATGATTCCTTAGCTTCAAGACAGCATCTTTATCCTAATACCGACATTTTCCTTGTGTGTTTCTCAGTTGTATTACCAGAATCGTTTGAAAATGTAAAGACAAAGGTACAGTTTACTGTCGCCACGCAAAGAATATAGTTTGCAAAGTGAATAACATTTACAATTGCAGCGCTGACTCAGCTCTAATTTTTTAAAGAGCATTTCACTGAACAAAATGATGAGGAAAGAGTTTGGCACTATGTTCTGACTTGGCGCTTACGAACTGTTTTTGCGCGACGGTACTTTAAGGAATACTTATTTTCCAGTGGATACCAGAAATAAAACTTCAATGTCCGAAACCAAAGTTTGTTATCATCGGTCTTCAGGCAGATTTGCGGCACACATTGAAAAACACATTCGCAGGAGATAAAAATGAACCAATTGCTACTGATGAAGGCCAAAAGTTAGCCAAAGAGCTCGGTGCTATTAAATATGTTGAATGCTCCACCCAAGCTAAAGTAATGTTTTGAGCTCAAGTCTTTGTCTCCAGTAAAAGTGCGTTTAAAACGCTAAGAAATAATAGTCGTAGAATCGACCCTAATATGAAAAAATTTTAACACTTATTAGTGTAACTGGGAATTTTGAAATGCCAAATTAAAGAAAACATAAACACTATTATGTTTTACAGTTATGAAATAGGCTTTTAAAGAAAAAACATTAAAATAATTTCTTATACGAAAGTTTCCATCAATTTTTAGTATATTTTTATAATGTTCTAAAAGTCAGTTTGATTACGATTTAGTTGAGTGATGCTGTTCAAACTTATCTGACGTGAAGTTTAAAATCTTTACAGGTGTGGCTGATTTTCATTTATCAATAGCTTAAACAAAAAAGTGTTTTGTTTACAGCGCGAAGTCAAAAAAGTATTCGATGAAACAGTATTAGCACTGATGAAGGCTGATCAAAACCATGCAAACAGGGAGAGGAAAGCTTGTTATTTGTTATAAAAATTCAAGAAGACTGATTTTTCTATATCGTCAGTATCGTCATCACCGCTACTGCTGTCGCTGACCATCACCTTCCGAAAAATGTCATAATTTCTAGCCATTAATTTTTATAGATTTATTATTGTTAATATTGCCATTATTGTTCCTTTTGTGATCACTATTATCATTAATATTATTATTATTATTATTATTATTATTATTATTATTTTTCATTATTATTATTATTATTATTATTATTATTATTATTATATCAATGATATTATAATAACAGTAATACCAATAACTAATACTGTTTATTATTATTATTATAAACACTATTCTTCTTCTTACTGTTACTATTACTATCATTATTATTATTATTATTATTATCTTTATTATCACTATTATTAATATTGTTATTACTGTTATAATTACTGTTATTGTTATTATTATTATCATTACCACTATTATTATTATTATCACTATTATTCCTAAAAAAAGGAGAGGATGAAGACGAAGAATAAAAAGAGAACGAAAAAGAAGACGAGGGAGAGGAAGTGGCGGAGGAAGAGGAAGATGAAGATGAAGAATAAAAGGTAGGATACTGTTCAGAGAGATGTGAGTAAATATAATTCACTTGAAAAACAATTCTATCTCTGCTCTTCAATCACATCTGTTCAAATTACGCTGATTTTTAGTTTGGTCCGCAAATTGATTATGTTTTTAACAACTGTGTGGTGAAAAAAGTTTGTACACCTATCAGTTTTTCTTCTAATATTTTTTAATTAATGGGTACAGCTGATTAATTATTGTAGGTTTGTGTAGTGCTTAGACATAACATTGACTGTCGCATCAAAAGTGCCTGGCTTCTTGTTGTTTTTTCTATTTGAATTCATTATAGGTGTCATTCAGTTGAATTATTACCGCTTTTCCTGCAGATTTTGGTATTTATTAACGACGATTTTACAATTAGTAAAGTTTTTTAACCACAAAAAAAAATTTATTTCTGCACTTAATTAACATGTATCCATGTATGATGTTAACTTCTCTGCCTTATATTTAAAACATTAAATTTGTACTGTCATTCCTAATTCCTTACTGGTTATCAGATTTGATCATTAATTATCACTTCTAACGCTAGTGGTGTACACATAATTCATAACAAATTTTGCACTTAAATTGCTATCGTACTTAAATTTTTATTTTATTTTATCATTAAAATAGTCACGAATTATTGATCACTTTGATTATTTTTTAAGCAAAAATAAAACCCCAAGTACTACTGAAGTTTTAATGTCAAGAAACTGCAGGTACCAGTCAACTTTTAAAAAAATTTAAACGTTTGTAGCAAGTTGGCGGCGCTCTGCAGCCTTTATGATTACCAGGTTACAGCTCTCACTAATTAAAAGTATCTGTTGTTAAGAGATTCTTTTGAAGTTTCGTTTAAAATTATAACTGGGCGAAATCATTATGCCACTGGTACTTTTTTTTCCGAAATACCTTTGATACTACAAGAAGAACTACTACTCAGACATTCTGCTTATGCCCTCTGTGTTTTTCTGCAGCTGCAACAAAACGATATTAAGTCTGAAAATTTTAAAAATTTTGAATTTGGCTAGTTTTTTACTTTTCAGTATAAAAACTTATTTCCTTTTTGACGGTACTATTGCAACATCTTTTTTCATATAACGTTTTTAGTTTGAAATGCAAAAATCCTGACAGCAAAACTTGATGTTTCGGCTGTCTTTAGACTCTTTTAATTGTTTAGTTTTCCTAAGTTTTAAAGCAAACCTTAAAAGCAACAACCGGTGTCTAAATTACAATGCATTAATTTAAAGTACAAGTAATTCATTTTGGAAATAATTAAAAAAGAACTATAGAGCCAAAAACAAAAGTTTTAAAATAAACCATAACAATCCTGCAATTTTTTTGTTTCAAAAAAATGACGCTTAAATTCAACGATAGTATATTCTTCAATATTCTATTTGAGATGATAAATTTAACCTTTGACACTTTCAAATGACAAGTTTTCATATACTGAAGAAGTATGATAATTGTAACCGACACGCTGACAATGTTTTCCATAGCTCAAAAATCCAGGTCCACTAAGATTGACTCTAAAATTCCGTACAATTAAATCCAGTACACAGCATTCTAGAATAACATGGCACAGTCTTGTCAAGGTATAGTTGTCTCTGTTTGAATTTGTAAATATCGCATCTTACGGTTTATTCTTTCTCCGCAGCCACCATCAAAGTGTCTATTACATTATTCCTTTAACTATGTCAAGATATTATGGCTAGACATTAATAACACTTTTTTGTGGGAATAGTTTGGTGTCAACGCAAAATCTATTTGGATAAGGTCAAACCTACGCTGATATTGCGCCCAAAATTTTGTGTTCAAAGGAGTGGAAAAAGAATTCAGTTGCTGTACAGTATTAACACTTTCAGGCAACTAATGTTAAAAAGTTTGTCACTCCTCAGACTTGTTGTTATATATTATTGAAACATATATTATTGAGCAGTTATTGAAACAATTACTGGTGACTTTTTTGCTAATATTTCACCGCTACAGCCTAAAAATTCGCCACTGATTTTTAGAATTAATGTTGCTGAAACAAATATTGGTGAGGTTTTTCTCTTTGTAATAGTGGTCTGAACAAGTAGAACTTATAGGGGAAAAAATATGCATGTTATCTCTACAAACACCATCTTTCCTTAATTAGAGATCTTTCTCAAAATTTCGGTTTTCCTTTACAAGGCAACAAAAACTATTTACGATTACGCTGAAAAAAGGGTTCTCGCAATAATGAGCTACAGAATTCCTCTAAAACCGTTTTGTACAGCATCTACGCCTTAACAAAATTTAGTAGTTTTTAATTTAAGGTGTCAATGTGAAAAGTAGTTAAGGAAAGGAAAACCCGGTAAAGTAGTGAAATTCCAAAAAAATTTCCTGGTTTAAGACTCACAAGTTCAGATTACTAATTCTGAAACTTCAGATTACTTGATTTCAGCTAATTAAAATGACCCCAAGTAGCGAACCTAATTCGCAGCGAAGCGAAAAACACTAGAAGATCTAAATTTTAGTGTACAATTTTCATTAGTTTGTCCTACTCGCCGCTTTATAAGCGAATATCGCTTGCTGTTAGTTCAAGCTGAGGTCCATGCACTTCGCAGAAGAATAAATTTGTTAACGTCCGAAATAAATTTTTTAAAATATACCCATTTAACAGTATTTTCCAAACTTTTTTCTGAATTGAATGTTGTATTATAAAAATTGTTATAAAAGACTGAAACTTCAGCAGAAGACCCAAAAATACTTCATCCCTCAAAAGATGAAGCTGATTACGAGTTATAAAAACTAATTAGGTTCTTGTAAAGGTCGTCAAAACTCATTTGAAGAGAGTGACGATTTGACTTTGACCATCATTTTTGTTAAAAATAACGTATAAGAAAAACTGTCAATAAAGCAATTTTTCCAGTAAAATCTCAATATTCTTGTGATTCGATGTCTTTCAATTCATCATCAAAGTTTTCTCTGCTTTTAGGTGCAGTGCAGTGGCAGAAGGTCAACATGGTCGCCTTACCAACTCAAATTCTGATTGGAAATTTTTCGGTTTGCTAGCAGAGTTAACTGTTTGCCGAATAACGTCTCATTCTTCAAAATAATTTATGATAGATTCAGGGAAGACAAAGTGTAGAATTTCTGGAGCTAAATTACTCAGCTTTGAAAAATTATTATCTGATATTTTTCCAAACGGATATTGTCCTATGGTAGAAAAGTTTAGCTTGAAAAAAAACCTTTCTCATGGTAGGTTGCGTACCAAGTTAATTTTTTAAGTTTTCAAAGTTTTTACTGCAGAGTTTTCAGATGACTTAATTTTTTTTTTTTCTTTTGTAAAATTACAATGAAGTCTCTTAAGTGGCGTGAAGAGGCTAACATACTTGAACTGAACGAATAAAGTGAAACACCAAACGTAAAAAAGAACACTGGTACGCCTCGTATAAGGTAAATAACACCTAAAGCAAGGACAAAGCTTCAGACATTACGTCGTCTCAAAATTGTTAAGTTTGTCATGCGGCGCTGGCTGACACAGAAAGTATGCTAAAAAACGGACGGTAAAACTGCTCGCCAGCTCCAACTTGCACTCTCCCCACTGCCTCTGCAACGTAAGCGTTGCCCCCAGCGATCAGAACAGATATCCATCTTTACCGAACTGTGGTTCCCTGGAATCCGGGCATTCAACCACCAGCCTTCTGTTAACTAACGACTGGCTGTAGCAGCCAAATAATGCCTTCAAATTTTTCTGAGTCTCAAAGCGACATTTATCGTAATTATATAATCACTCTAGAACGAATCGCGCGCGCGTTTTTCGTTTTTTGAAGCGTTGCGTGTTTCCTCACTTTACATTTTGTTGGTACCATTACTCAGTTAGCTTTTGCTTGTTGTTCCTGCGCTTCATCTTGTTTATGCGTTTGGAACTCATCAATTATAATGTTTTAAAAGGTATTTTTAAGGTTTTTGAAAACGTTGTGTTGTGCCAAGTCGTTGGAAGGAAATGACGGAGGGAGATCGTTCTGATTCTGGTGCTGATGATTTTTATGATGATGGCGAGGAAGTTTATGATGATGAAGGTAGTTTTTTTTATTAAGAACTTTCATTTAAAGGTGTTATCTGTAAATTAGTCCTCGAACACTTAATTTTTCGTTGTTGGTACCGGGTTGAAATCATAGTACTCTGGAGATGCATATACTCATTGCTTTTTTTAATGCTTCATGGATGCATTGTAATCAGTTGTAGGTCCTCGTGCATACTTACTCGATGTAACCCCAAGTTGTTGATCGGTAATCTTAGTAGTTACTTTATAAAAGTAGGGTTTCTGTTTAAGAGAACCCTTCGTAATCAGAAAGTGGCGTGGTGGATTCACTTTGTGTGTGTGTGTGTGTGTGTGTGTGTGTGTGTGTGTGGTGGTGTGAGTGTGTTGGCGTTATTTGCACTGGGAAGGTGTTCTCATTTGAGTTTTCTACACGTTGGTTCTTAAATTCTTTATGCGTTGTTTCTTAATGCCAGTGAATAGTTTGTTTTTGTTTTAGTATAATAATTTACTCGAGATACTGCTATTTGTGCATTTGTACCTTATGTCACTTTATCGTCGTTCAGTGTCTTTTGTTTTTTCTGAAATAAATGATTAAACGGTAACTAAAAGCCAGTTTATCTTGATGTGGGAAAGTTTTTTTTTTGGTCAGTGGTCATTAGCTCTTTATCTTAAATGACGAAGGGGTAGTGATTGATAAGTAGAGAGGGTGCTGTTCAAAAGGGTAATTTTTTGTACGCTATTTTGCAATCTGACATCTTCGATTTATTTTCGCATGAAATTTGTGTAAATTCTTCCATCCTTAGTGCAGTTGTTCAATCCTTCTTACTTACGTAGGGCATGAACTGCTTGTTTTCAGCTACTCTTGATGAGGAGGAGATGTTAGAAGGTGGAGAAGATTATGAGGAAGAGCTGAAGGTATTGGAGGATGATGCAAATCTCCCAGTCGAGGAGCTCCGCCGACGTTACTATGGGGCTGATAAAGAGAAGGATGAAGATTATTCAAGCTGTGAGGCTCAGTCGTCTTCTACTCAAGCTGTTGACGACGTGCATGGTTCATCTGTTGAAATTTTAGAAAATCCTGAAGAGGTCGCTGGGATCAACAGTGGTCAGTTGAAAGGGTTTTTGTAGATTGACTTTCTCTCGGAGAAGGCGTTGTTCAAGGCGCCACAACTTCTAATTATGCGCGCTTCTTCAGTTGAGAAACCTGGACCTTCAAGTACAAGTGAGGTGGAGCAGAAAGTTGAGTCCCACGGCTATTTCTCGGATATCGAAGACACTGAAGAAGATGCTGATTACATACCTCCTGATCCATGGCGAAGAGACGTGCGCGAAGGCCCGGGTTATCAGGCTTTTGTTGCAGACGCTCCTTCTTTTGAAACTCTGTTTTCAGGTTTGACGAAACAGTCATTTCACAACTAGCTTTTATTTGAATCTCTTTTGAAACTTATCGAATGAGAGCTTTCGTCGAATCACAGAGTGTATCTGTATTTCATTGTGCCTTTCGTACAATTACAGTTCTTTAGGCCCAGAGAGAGGTAGTTTGCTGTGGTCACCAATTCCCGAATTGACAGAAGAAAAAATAAACAACTTTCTTAAAGAGTTCTATAAGTTGGCTTTCAAACACAGTGAGTCGTCCAAGGCAGAAGACCTTTCGCGATGTAATGGTTTTGAAGAGCGGCAACCTCTTCGAGACGATGAAAATGCCCTCAAGTTGGTTTTTGTATTACTTGGAACAAGGAGCTAGGTTTTTCTGCCGATTTGTAGTATATGTGTAATGGTAATTGAGTGGGGTTGTTTCTTTAAATGTCATTGGTAGTCGAGAAATTGCAACTAAATAATATCATTTAACTTCTGAACTTTTGGGGAAATGAAAAAAGGCAGTGGCATGCTGCATTTTTTCAGGGTAAAGTAGTTTCTGTTTGGTTTTTAGAGCTTTAATGGACGCAGATTATAATGTTGAAAAAGCACTTTCGCTGTATCCGTATCCGAAAATTAATGCACCACGAATAAGCGCGCCTGCGGAATCTAGTAAGTGGACGGAACAGGTGATTCTGTATTTCTTTTTTTTTTTTGAACTGCTGGGAGGTGTTTGACTGGAGAATTTGAAGAAAGCTGCCAGTGTTTACAGGAGTGCAAACTGTTCGAAGATGGTATTGAACAGTTTGGAAAGAACTTCAGTTCCATTCATCGAATGAAGGTATAAGAAGTTAAAAGGATTTTTTTCTCAACGTTCAGTAGGATTGACGATAAATTAAATAGAAGTGTTGGTTGTTAGTTTTCTGAAAAGAAAGTCGTTTTGTTTAGTTGCCGCATCGAACAGTTGGGGAGTTAGTCCACTTTTACTACTTTTGGAAGAAAACTGAGCGCCACGATATCTTCGTTGAAAAAACAAGAATTCAAGAGCATCCAAATTGCACGTGAGTTTCTTGTAGCAGTTGGCAAGGGTGTCAAATTATGGTCGTTCTGCATTGAGTATTAGAGAGAAGTAGCTCGTTTTAATTAGTAACTGCGGTGCATTTTAGTGACTTTATGGGGCGCATCATCGGGCATATGGATGCTGCAACAGGTGATTCTACGGAACACTTGACTGATTCAATAGGTTTCCCAAACTCAGCTCTTCCGTCAAACTTAGATTCGGCTAACACAAAAATTTGGCCAGACTATTGGCCGCAGCAGAATGATGCGGCTCCTTTGCCCCATCTTGACAATGATACTATTGCAAATGTACTGCGGTGATTGTATGCATTGCCTTGTGATTTTCATTCGTCTTTTACTAATTGATTTTTCAGCAACAAAACAGTTACATTTTGCTGTTGTACAAAGGGATGATTTTTATTTTGAAAGGTCGGAAATTGGAAACAGGAGTTGTTATTTGACGTGGCAGGGTTCGGAAAATAATTGCTTCCTGTTGTTCTATTTTATTTTTTGCCGATATTCCTGGTGCTATTATCGTAACATTTCCAATTTTTTGTTTCATTGAAGTGCTTTGAAAGTTGTGGTTTTTGGATTTTTTGTGCTTTTTTGCATTTGATTTTCCAGTATCCAGAAGAATGAGACTAGTGCTTAAATTGCTGTTTATTAAGGAATTTACTCCAATTAGCCGTGCTCTCCGGTAGCTTTTATTTATAATTTCTTTCCTAATTGTTTTTTACATAACTTAGTCTTGCGTGCATTTTTAGGTGATGTTTTTTCTTTATTTTTTTCTCCATTGTTTTACCTTGTTCATTACTGCTTTTGTTAATTTTTTGTTTGGGAACTAAGTCGAGACCTTGCTGTTGTTTTTTGTGTCGTTTGTTTTAGCTTGCTATACCTCTCGTATTTGTCAGGAACTGTCAATTACTATTTCAGCTCGCGTAATCTCCTTTTCAATTTTGGAATTTGGCTGCTTGGTTTCCAAGGTGCTTCGCCAATTTTGTGGTGAGGCTGCTGTATTTGCACGTCTTTTTTTATGAGGAGTGATTATCAGAAATCATTCTTACTTCCAGTAGAGAGATTATGGATGCGTTTTCTGCTGGGAAACGAGGCAGGGATTCTTATGTTTTTTTTTGTCGACTTGTTTGATTTGGCATATTTTTCAATGCTTTAAAATTTGTATGTCTATTGGAAGTTGTCTTGTTTTTTCCTTTTTTTTTTAGGTTGTTCTTTGATTATATCCTTTTTAAGAGGATTTGATTTATTTTTGGATTCATAAAATTGTGCGATTATGGTTTGTATGGCAAGTTAGTGTCGACATCACCTTGGGACTTGTAAGGCGTAATGACCACCGACGCATATGGCTGTCTTTTACACTGTGCTGCTTCGAAACAGTTTTTGGGTTCCTTGGCTGGAGTGGTTAAAGGCAGTTTTAAGCGGTCGGTTGGATGGATCTAGGCTGTATAGCGAGTGCCCGAGGTCAGGTCACTTAAAGAGGAGCGGGAGGTTGTGCGGTTGAAAGTTTAATTGTTTCTGCGTCTTGCGGGTGGTTTGGCGGTGACTGGATATGCCGATAGCTGTGTGCAATTTTGTTGGGCAGTAATTTTTGGTATTGCCCCGTTAGGTTAGAGGTCGTTGCCAGTTGTAAGAGGCAGGAACGGTATATGGGAAGTCCAGGGGAGTCTTATTGGTGTGTATCACAGTTAAGGTAGTACTACGCTGAAAAAGTTTCAAGTCATTTGGAACAAGTGGCGAAGTTGCTTTTTAAATGCGTTAACGCATCCAAATAAGGTTTCATAAATTTGTTTTTTACGCTGTGGTAGCGGATTCTTAGTGTATGAAGTGCTCCGAACCACTTTTAAGATTTGCAGTGCTTCTTGCACTGTAGGTTCTAGACGTGGAAGATGAAGGGCCCATTACTGAAGTCGTTGAAAATGGAGAATTTTTTCTTCGTCCTGCAGATCTGGAGCCAGTTGGAAGTTTGAATACACATTTGCTTGAGTTGTGTTCTTTATTTTAGTAGGTTACATCTTTCGTCAGAGCGGACTAGCAACGTTTTCACTTTCACATAAATCGCCTCTTTACCGAGTAACTTAAAATATAATGAATGATCTGGCAATCTGGCACTGCTGTTTTTTCGTCATTAGTGGCTTTTTCTTGTTTTTTGTATACTTTATTGTAAAAGCCTAGTACAGTGAGCGATTACAAGAAAATTAGGATTAATTTGAAGTTAGACAGTTGGCTAGGAATTCTGCGACTTGAGTTCGTAGGAAGTCCTGGATATTTTCAGCATAGTATGGTCTATCTTAACTGAAGCATCGAAATTTTTAGAAAAGGCTGCTGTTTTCTTTTTCGGCGCACTATTTTTGCGCGTGACGGGCGTTCAACTTCTTCAGTTTTAGAGGATGTTGGAGTTATTTTTTTGTACCTTTTATAAAAATCAGGTGAGAAGGTTGCCAAGCCAGAACTCCATGCGGTAGAAGAGAGATAAAACAAAAGAATGAAGTGCGAGGTTTGCTATTCAGTGCGGGTAGCACATAAGGCACATAAGCTCTTTTGGAACTAGTGGAGAAGCAGGTTTTTTGGGTGGAAAAAGCTTTAAGGTTTCATTTTACTGCTATCTTATTTTACTACTAACGTCTTGCTCGAAACTTCCATACCGCAGTAAAAGTCACTTTTTAAGATTGAATCCGGCAGGAGATTTGAAGGAGGGAAGGGTAGTAAAACAGTAACCTCTTGAAACTAAAGTGAGAGACTGACTCGAGTTGAAACACCATTTGGCAAATTGTCTGTAAAATGCATTTTCTTTTTGAGCTTAAGACGCGCACTGCGCATCCCTCTGTTTCTACTATATTGCTGTTTCCAGTCAAAGTTTTGCAGGTAAGATTATGGCGTGCTTAGTGATAGGTGACAATAATGCATGAAGCTGCTATTTAGGTCGGCATCAAAGGTCCTTCCCGACGAGTTTAAAGCTGAGGTTAAAGTACTTTTGGGGAACTGCAGCGCCAATGTAGGTCAAGTTCAAATCCTGGCTGATCATTTAGCTTGAGCTGGCTTGGCACTAGGGAGGGCTGTAAGCTTGCTTTGGTAGTTCCACAGCCATGAAAGACGAGCGTATTTTGTTGCCTACTTTTGGGATGTCCATGAACGGTCGGAGGGCGAAGTGGTTAAGAGCCAATTTCGATTTTTATAGTCCGAGCGTTTACCGGTATTTCTAGCTGGTTGGATTTGTACAGTTGAAAATAAACCTGCTATTATTTTTTGTGTTTTCAGGTTGATTTAGGGGCTGCAACTAGGCTATGCTCTTCTTAACTTCTAGCATTATTCAGAATGTCAGGAGTATCTGAATGCGAAAGATGCTGTTATGTAATTCCAAAAAAGAAGAGGAGGTGTAAAATGTTGGTCAAGAAAGGGAGTAGTTACTGTGGTGAACACGCCATCTACGAACCGTCCAATCACGTAACACTTAAAAGCAACCGATTTTTTCGATATTTTCTGCTTGTGTGTCTCAAGAAAGTTACTGTTGTGGTCAGTGTTTAGGAACGAGTTCCTTGTCCGCTTGACCCGAAGCATACCGTTAATAAGAGCGAGCTAGAGGAGCATATGAAAAGGCGCTGTAATTGGCGCATCCCGGAAGCCCCGTGGGTTGTAAAAGGATTGAATTCATCTGAAGCTAGCTGCAGCGAAGGTTGGGATATCAAATGTTTTATCTGTTGACTTTAAAAGCTTGTACTTATTCCTGCAGGGGATTCTGGTTCTTTTCAATCTCAGCAGAGTTGAACCTTTGCTTTGCAGTAGGAGCAGGCAGCCTTGGTTTTCAAAGGGTTGGGAAAAATAATCTTTTTGTTTCGGCGAATTTCGTCACTATGATTCGAAAGGCGTATGAGAAGATTCAAGATGAGGTTTGCCACTCTGAAGTGAAGGATGCTGTAATTGAAGAATTTATGAGACAGACAGATGAGATGAATTTTACCCATCGGAAACATCTGATGCAACATTCGTCCATTATTGGTAATATTCTTTCAAATTACGTTTTTTTGCTTTAATAAAATGGACATAGGAGGACGGGTCGGCTCCTTGTGAAGAACCTTTGAAGAAGAAAACAAAATAGCTATAAGTAGCCGGTTGAAGTAACACTTTTTCCCTATCTTTAGTAAATTTGTTTTTTTTTGTTGCTTCGTTCTGTTTCACTGGTTTAAATGAAAATTAGTTTCAAAATTTCCGTACTGGACTAGAAATGTTTCCGAAAAAACACTAACTTCACCGTTTCTGCTTCTTTGGGAGGGCTCTGCGAGAAGGGGGTTTCAGACGCGGAGAAAGTTTAAAGTTCTTCTAAAAGCTGACGAGTAAGCGGAATTCTTTGGTTTCTACAGGAGAACGTGATTTTCTAACTATTTTAAACTTAGGTGACACGATGCTGCAGGTGTAAACAAATTGTTTTTAAAACTTGTAACGCTAGTCTTTTAAACATGTTCCGTTTCATCTAGTCAGGCACGTTAGAAAAATTTTTTTTCACAATTTACCCCTAAAAACGTTTGAGTAGTGATTTTAACCAGAATAGCCTTTTACGTCTTGCAGGTCTCTTAGTTAGTACTGGACTTTTGTACAACGACAGTCAGCTTTGTATCATTGACTTCGGTTCTGGAAAAGCTGAACTTCCGTACTGGATATCAAAAGGTTTTCAAAAATGTAATTTCTTGCTGCTTGACAACCAAGGGATGAGAAACAAGTACGACAACAAAGCTGCCAAGGTATGCGGGAGTTTAGCCTCAAATCATAACTCTGAGTTGACACAGTTCATAGGCCGAATGTTCTCTCATATCTCAAAAAGTTATCACTGATTGTTTAGAGCTCTGTATTATAGATAGTTTGTGAGTAATTAGTAACACCAGCAGGAGTTTAAAGTCCTAATAAGTTGTGGTTTTTTACTATATTAATTTTTCAAATTCCATTTTTAAAAAATATGATAGGCCTCTGACCATCAAACAACAAAGTCAATTAGTCGGTTCCAGAAAGGCAGGTTTAAACATAACATTTAGGAAGACCCCATGATCCGAATGAAGCGAATCCGGTGCTCTATTGAACATATAGATCTAAGCAAAATTGACGCTGTGAAAGTACGTTGGGCTAAAGCTTCACTCTAGCTTCGATAGTTTATTACCTAATTAGAAGCAGTGGCAGACGCAGTTTCCCACGTTGCAGGAGGCGAAGGATGTGGTTGCTATATGTAAGCATTTATGTGGAAAAGCAACAGATTGGGGCATAAGATGCCTGGAAAATAGTGCGAAGACTGGCGTGAATTTTTCCGGATTTGCACTCATACCTTGCTGCCATCACAAAACCGTGTATGAGGAGGTACAGTTTCAAGATAGGCTATCAATTGCCAACCTGTAAAAGCGGACCAAAAAAGGATAACTTCAACTGACGTGTTCTCCTTCAAATGTTTTTAAATGTTTTTCAGTACATGGGGAAGGAATTTTTGGCATCGAATGGTTTTAGAAGTGAGCAAGATTTTTCGTTGTTAAGGTACGTAGCCTCCTGGGCAGTTTGTGGTCTACTCTTACAAAGGAAAACAAAGGTAATCTCTTTTTAAAATGGGTCCTGCAATATCGGGCGTAAGCCTAAGTGAGATTTTTTCAGGATGAGGATGATAAAACCTTGAAAGAAAAGCCTAAGCAAAATGACGGGTCGAGGGAGTCTGGAGGAAAGTTATCAAATGAGGAGAGGGAGGTTCTGGGCAGACAAGCAAAAGTTTTGCTGGAGTTTGGTCGAGCAGCTTATCTGACTCAAATCGGCTTTGAAGTCAAGTTGTATCAGTATGTAAATTCTACTATATCACCAGAAAACCTTCTTATTTTAGGTCGAAAAAGGTCTTTCACATGACTAGTGGATTTAATGGTAGCACAAAAGTCGAAAAGAGATCGTCTTTACTGAAATTTCACATAGAATAATGAAGTTCATTATGTTCCCCAACCAGATGATTTTATATCCCATCAAAAACACGATGTACCTTCAAAGGCAGTTAATAAAGACAGTCTACATTCGCAGTAGCAACAAATGTATCACCGGTCTCTCGTTCGCTTGAAAGAATCATTTCTACCATGAGGACCTGGACGACCTCACTACGAATTAATACATCAACTGGTGAACGAATGTCACTTGTTTCGCCATATTCAGTTTACTTCAGCGCTTCAAGTCACTTCCAGTGATTCACACCTAAAGAATTTATTCTTTTAATTTAAAAAAGACAACAGATCTGAACGAAGAAGAGAGGATGAGAAGAAAGTACCTATTCTCATCTGCGATCACAAACTGATATTGACAAGTCTGCCTTAGCATCCGTTTTCCACAGCCTTTTAGTCTCTTTATCCATAAAATCTACGGAGAACGATATAGTGCAGTTCTAAAAGACACTAGTTTTTCGAAGTAGTTGCTGAAGCAGCTTTATATGCTTTCACCAACCTGCAAAAACGTTTGGAGAAACTGAACTTTGAAGAATTTTTCATCTTTCAACTCCGCGAAGACAACGTGAGAATAATCTTTCTGAAAATAAAAATTTTACCACTAAATGGGTTCCAAAGCGGCTGTCTGGTTTTTTTGGCACCGCTCTTCGACGCTTACATTAGTGGATGTCATTTAAAATCAGAATAAGTGCAATTTTCAACAAACTTGATGGACTTTTAATAGTACTTTTTGTTAACTACACTAAAGCCTTGCACGAATCAAAGAGCAACATTTACGTGGATGTTCTTCTGGAACTTGACTGTTGCCGTAACTAGAACCTTCCTGATTGCGGACGTGTCGGTACCTTCGATGACGCCTTCAACAGTCACAGGAAGCTGCTGACTGGACATGGCAATCACTGACAGATCATTCGATGTCGGTTGAGGAGATATATTTAGCTGCAAAAAAGGACTATAATTCACGAAAAGTTATTTGTAGACTAAATCATATGGATGTTCAGATTGTCTGTATCTATGAGAAGAATAAGTGAAGTAAATACCTTGACGTGGGTATCTTTGAACTGTTGGAAAAAGAACCGTGGGACGCCTATTTGCAAACAAGTTAGACGCTCAAAGATTTCCATCATGTTTAAAGCGTGCTAAAATTCCAACAGTACAGTTTCACAACGTAAAAGTTTTAACTGATAATTGGACAATTCCAGGTAGATTAATAGTGGTGGGGTCATTTAACGAAGTCGGTATACTAAAGAGGTAGAAAGCACCACGAAATGACGGACCTGCTTTTTGTACTCGGGTTAAAACGAGCAAATTTATTTAAATGGGATATAAAAACCTGTTGGCTAATCCGTTCCTCAAAATCTACTTGGGCCAATCTTTCTATTTGGTTTCTGGCCCACAGTAAAGTTTTTCGGAAGCGTTCCGTAATGAAACTAGTGTTCTGTCCTTTAGCAATTTCAGGCGCCCTTGAATAATGTAATCGTGACAAATTTATTGACTTTCAAAGATATTACAGAAACTCTTCTTAGTAATTTTTGAAGTGATGAAGGAAAATGACCAACCAACTAGAGGACTGGGAATAGTAAAGAACCGGAAGAAAAAATAACATTACGGTGCATAATTCTTCTGAGAATATAAAAGAAGGGCTGAATCAACTGTGGAGCACATGGCAGCATACATGTCAATCAAAGTTAAGGTGTTTCCATCAGCATCGAAGCAACTGCTGTATAAATTACAGAAAGAAACTCGGCACGATACCATACCTGAACATACATTTTACATGCCTTATCATTATATGATTATGTTGTAAGAAGACTTACGTAAGTGTAGTTCGTTGAAGCGTAATGATACTCTGCTTCTAACATGAGCCGGCATTGGATCACTGGAAAGCATGATGACTGTGTTGACAATTAATACCACATCACGAAACACGCTGAGCATCAGTGCCAAATACTCGGTATATCCTCGAGCAAACGAAAAGTAATGCCTTGATTCATAACAGCTACACAAAGCCTAGAAAACGATTAAACGAATTGTGCTAAGCACTTGTGCGTTTTTACTCGGAAGCAGTGAACCTTACTAACCTTTAAAGAAATAAGGGACCTATTATAACTACATAACGAAGCTTCTATTGCATCTAAGGTGAAAGAGTCCAGTGAAGCAGAGCAAAAATCGACTAGTGCTGAGATCCACAAAGCTGCGTCAAAGGATTTGAACTAAAACAGTCTTGATATACTTTCACTTCAAGCAACGCGCGACGTCCAAACTGAAAAAAAAGTTTTGCAGGAATAACTTACGTGATGTCGAATGGATTGCAGTAAAGGCAATGCAACTTTTTTGAAGTGACCATTACGCATAGCCGCTCTAGCTACTAGATAACGTGTCCAAGGGTGTGGACCCCAACAATCGATATGATCTTCCTTCAGTGAAGTCAAGTTTTCAAATGGAGCATACACTAACAACGCAAACATCTAAACCAAACACAAAATCAACAAACTGATCTTTTTCACAAACAAAAGAACTTCAAATACGGAGAAGACGAATAAATTGCCGAATACATCATCCGTTTACTGTAGTAAGTTCTGTCAGTAGTAATAATTCCGAGAGGTTGGAATTTGGAAGTCAGAGCTCAATGACCACCAGCTGTAGTTCATTCTTTTAAGCAAAAAAAAAATTTTACGGTTAGACAGAGAGAACACAGAGAGAATGCATTACTAGCGCTTACTGTCAGATTGGAATAGTCAACACCTCTGCTTAGTTTTTCCGCAGACCAGTGGGCAAGACGCCCATATAAATGTGGGTGTATTTCAGCAACCGCGACAAGAAACCGTATAATGTTCACAAATGTAGTAGACCCTGAGCTCTCATTGATGACTTGTTCAACTAGCGCATTGACCAGTTCCAAAGGACACGCATCGACGCGAACAAATGCTGTCATTATTCGATAAAACTGAATAAGGTCATATATTAAGGAAAAGCAGTCTCCATCAACTGATTAATTTTCCTCTCCAACAGTCGTTCTAAGGAAAAATTAAAAAAATCGGTTGAAGAAGTACTCGAAAGTACAGTTTTTTCCAACCTTGAAACACTGCCCGTTACAGATATTCGAAAAACTGTAACTAAATAATATGAGAGAAGAAAATACAAGAGTCTACTTTGCTAATGGTGTTAAACCTGACACCCCTAATTTGCTGAAGAATCGTTTTAGTCAAGCCCCCTGATCGCGTAAATTATAGCAGAGAGATGTCGAAGTAAGCTTTTAAAAAGCATAAACCTGATAAACCATAAACCTATTACGTGAACATGCAGAACTGATAATTCTATGACAATAGGTTTTCATACCTTTTCGGAACCGCTTGAAGTTTTATCCTTCAAATGTGCAGTGAAAGAAGAAAATAGTAGCAAGCTAAGGTCTGGAGATCGAAGAAGAAAATATAGATTTACGAATAGTTGGAAAGCGTACAACTTGCAGGCAACGCTCTGACTGGTCAACAACACCTTCCACCGAGCAGCGAACTCTAAAAGTGTTTCGAATGTTTCCTTTGAAAAGCAAGGACAGAGAGCATTGCTTTAAATACTCACTTAAAAGAAATATGTTATAAGATGATTTCTAAGTATAACAGAAAACAAATATTTTGAAAGTTGATCAGTAGCTGAAAGAAAAGCTCAGTTAATAAGGAGAACAAGTTATACCAAACAATATTTGATTAATCTTATGAACCCCTTGTATCGAAAAACGTACGATAACAGCAAGCCAGGCACACAAGACTTGGTCGTCAGTAATGGATCCGTTGAATTCACATAAGCTCTAAGAGATCAAAGTTAAAAGGAAAAAAAACTGATGGAAAGGAAATTCAAAGAGCTTTACGGTCGTTGTAAAAGCCACTGGAGTTGACTTTTTATCCTTCTAAATTTTTCCACCACTTTTTAATGACCTAGCTATAGTATGTTGCTAAATCACTGGAAGAGTGCAGGATAAAAACAGTAGTTTGACTACAATGGGGCTTTGGTATAGGAACTTAAAAAGTGGCTAGAAATTGAAAAAAACTCCAACTATACTTAAAGCACAAGACCGTTTTTCACAGTTTAACAAATTTCCCCATCATGAAACAGTAAGAATTAATTGTCTCATCAGTTCTATTCAAAAAATTTTAAAAAAGTAGTTGATATGGACCATCACCCCTCTTGAGTCTCAAAGAGCTGTACCAGTCTTGGAAAAATTTAAATCGGATATTGGTTCAACTTACTCGAACTTCATTCTCGCTTAACATATGCGCTGCCGACGAAAGCCGTTTGATATTGTTTAAAATTACAGTACACAAAGCAGAGTTTTTCAATGACATCTTCATCCTCTCAATTAGCATGGCCAGCTGAAAAGCAAGATGAAAAGTGAGTTTCGCGTAGCAAAAGATGAGGTTGAAAAATAAACAAATCCAAAGTACCTTATTACGAACTGACTCAAAAACCTTTACACTAAAAACTGCAGAAATTGGGATTTACACAAACGTTACAGCAAGCAGACATTAAAAAGAAAATTACCAATTCTGCAGCTGCAACCTTCGAAGAACAAACAAGGGTAGTCAGTGACGTGAACAGCGAAAACATCAAACGTTGATTACAGGTTGAATTCAATATAATTTCTCCTAAAGCAAATATCCGCATAGTCAAGTCGATGTCGGTCCGCATTGATGCAAATACTTCACACAACAAGATTTTCCGGGCAGGTGGAACTGACGGTGATGTCAACAACACACAAAGCTTTTCAAAAATAGTTTTCGAGAAAGTTCTGCAAACCAAAAGCTTAGGCCCAAAAGAAAATGTAGACTGCAAGAACAGGGCGAATTAGCCTAGAAATCTAATAAATTTTTAAATATTTTTGAAATATTTATTAGTTGTGATCAATAATCACCTAAAATACAAAAACAAGAATTACAGAAAGTGCAGGAATTACTCATTATTAGTGCCAGAAATGTAGTATATTACTTAGATGCTGCAGCAAACGCCTTCATAGCAACTATTGCAGCAACCCTCTCGTGTTGCTCCTCCGAATCTATACTGGTTGCTACAAGGTGGTGAACCTAAAACATTAAAAAGATAATGATAAAAACGTCTAAAGCTCTTTCAGTTTGATGGTCCCATCTTCCTTACCTGTTGTAACGAAAAACAGCCATATTTATCATAATCAGAATTCAATATCGTGATTCGAAAAAACAGCACCAAATTTTGAAAATAACCTGCTTATTTTCAGCCACAATTGGCGCTAACTGTGCAAGCATCTGCAAAGTCAACGATCGTGCAACTGAGTCGGTAGAGTGTGACACTTTAAGAATCCTTCTAGCTATTTCTTCGTTAGAAAAAACCAATTTTAATTCTTCTGCACATTCTCCCATGACCCTTACCAAGCAGAGCCTGAGATCATTTGAACTAAAAGTTAAGACGGGAACTTATTTGCAGACTATGTTAATAAACCCCTAAGGTAGTAAACCAAAATGTTACACGTACAGAATCCTTCAAAGAAGTAACACACAATTTGAAAATTAGTTGTTTTAAAAACAAAAAGATGACGCTGAAAATAAAGAAATACCGTTACAATACCAGTGTTAAATAGCAAATATTGTTAACAAACCCATCACGAAATGCCTCCGCCATTCTAATTAAAATAGTATTTATAAATAACGAGAAGGGATTTTCCCGAAAGTAGGTTGGCAGTTTAACAATCGTGGCCATCTGTTCATGTAAAAGGCGAGTTTGCAAACCTAAATTTTTAATTTGTTGAGAATTAATCATGTGAAACAAATTAAGTATCCAGCGAAAAGTTAAGAAATTCTAGTACCTCAAAAAATCTTTCTTAAGAGTGTTAAACTTGCACAAACCACGAAGAGTTTACACAAGATCAGACAACAGCTAACAACAAATGAGAATATACCTTTGTCAATCGCTTGCAATGCTAGCTGCTGCTTCAGTGACGTGTCACCCATATCAGAAAAAAAACCTTACCACCTTCAGCAAAGTCCTTCATATAAAGCGTAGGAAAACCAGAAGGACTGATAGCATTGAGCTACTTGATTAACCAATCTGTAACAGTAAGGAATTTAAAAGAAGAAGTCCAATAACTATCCAATCTCACTTCAGAAGAGTACTGCTGTGATATATCAGTAACAACATAGAAAGAGAAATCTACGTGAGAGGTACAGAAGTAATAACTTTATTTTTTAAAACCATTTTAGGCTTTACAATCTTAACAAAGAAAAACTATAAGAGAAAAGGCAAACAAATAGTGCACAATGCTCCAATATAACCACCATATCTGCTTACAACAATAAAAGAGGTAATCAAAATGACTGTTGCACCAAAGTAACATGACACTTAAAAATGAAACTGGTGTGACAAGCATTAGTTCGAAGAATAATGAATACAGTGAAGAACTTAATTCAGTCACCAGTGGTAAAGACGACAAAATAAGAATTATGGTTCTTGACCAGTACTTCAAATATATACTTTACCTAAGAATACGTTACCAGCTTCTTTTACAAGGCCCTTTTTGTAAAACAAATTGAAATAAAAAAACCCGCGCTTACGGAGCCGACTTCAGATTAGCAAAGAGAATGCTGATGATGCAAGGCTAAAAAACCATTCTGAGCCAGACCCAATCATTAATTGATACATAATCTAAAAAATTACTTTAACATTCCGCTTTTCACGAATATAAAAATACTAATTATTCGGTTCAGAAAATTCCTTGTCTCTTCGAATGATGCATCAAAACGTGCAGAAGTCAAAAAGCAGTGAATTGTGGGCAATAATTTGGCTTCGAAATGTACTGAGCACACTGAAATACCTCTCAGATGCCCAATTAATTTAAAAACTGAAAAATTCCTAAAATTTAAAAATTACTTCAGTAGAAACCTGCCAGGCAGATTTTTCATAAAAGCAATACTAATTGCTTGAACTAGAGAACGAAGTAGAGGAGCGGTAAAACGCAGTGGGTCTTGTTACAATCTAATACCTACCTAGTGACTAAAAGCGTGGTAAATTACTTCAGTAGAAATTAACGGTGAAGAAAAAAATGAGTGACCAACTTAGACAAAGAAAAATATTTAAATATAAAACGTGCACAAGCAGTAAAAACATATGGCAAAATGAATCTAATAATTTACATTATAAAAACTTGCGAAGAATCTGCGTACCTAGAAGTGATTTTTCAACAGCTTTCATTCAAATCGCAGTTCTTGAAATATATTTGCAATTATCAAAGCGCAATTTCTATGATAGCTTCCAAAAGCACTTTCAGTAGTAAGAGCAAGTAATCGGCAATAGAACTAATTTCTCCCGATTGTCCATCGTCTAACAACTTAGACTCCGAAAAATTTCTGATTGCTTCTGGTTGGAAGTTGATATATGGTTCGTACTCCGTGTCATTAGAATATTTGATTAGAAGCAACAGTTTGAATAAACTTGATGGCTTTGATGGATGGCCGTATACCTGAAATAAAACAACTAATAATGGAAGGCAAAGTAAATCAAAAAATGAATAAAAACGAAATATAGAACTTTCTATGAGCACGCAGAAACTACTCACTTAAAAAGACACTAAATTAGACAACAAAAATTAGTCGTAAATGTTAATTTCAATAACCTAAAGAAACAATTTTTGGACACAGCAAAAAACCATGCGGCCTCTTCGACATCTTTGTTTTAACAGTCACCAACAAACAGTTACACGAACTTTAATACCCAAAAATTTAACAAAGTGATGAACATTTACAGACCCCGACATAAACAGGGCGTTTTGAAAACAAAGGCACGTCAATAGAATCGATTCCACAAGAGGCAGACACCATTTCATGTCCTGATACGTCAGTGGTAGGATATGTCTAGATCGATATAGTTTAAGAATAGAGTAATACTTCTTTTTTTAAAAAAAGCGACATTGTCAGAAGAAAACCAAATAACTTACAATTAAAATGAGTTGAATAATTTTTGAAAAATGAACTCGATACAACAAGTCACTCAAAAAGTAATTCAAGTCTATCAAGGAAAAGAACCATTTGCAAAAAACACTGATTATACTCAGTAAGCAAAAAGATACAATAAAGAAATTTTGCTCAAATAGATGTCTTCATTATTCCTAAAAACACTGCCGTAATGAAACCTAGAAAGAAATCCATCGATGACCATTAGTAATTAAAATTTTTAGCTATTAATCATTTGCGAAAACAAGAGGAGGCAGTATTAACTACAAATATTCAAGAATTCTCCTTAAACAACTACAACTAGCAGTACCAAAACGGATAAAACGCGTAATATACCTTTGAAAACGACAAATAAATATCTGCATCACCGGTGAGGGACTGTAAAATTAAACGATACCGACCTTCACTTTTCATTTCAAAATACGAAAATTGACCTGCACTGACTTCACCAAAAAACATATAAGCATGAATTCCACCACCATCATTACCTTCCTTTATTGTACCCAAATCATATTTTCGATACTTTTTACCATCGTTCACCGCGAAAAAGATAAACAGGTAAATACCAACAAGCATTATTTGAATCCATACACCTAAACATCCAAACATATTAGGTATTAGTTAGATCCAAATTCGTTTCTTTTTCACTGGCACAAAAGCAAGCCAAAAAAACATGGCCAGACAACTCAGCTATTGTTTTACAGCTTCAATGCGTATAAAATTTATGGTACAGCTAGTAAAAACCATTAAACGCTCTTCTGAAAAGAAGCTAACACATCTGACAAGGAAAATACTAATTAACTGCAAGTGTGAAACTTCTGAATCAGATTATATTAATTATTTGGTCTTCACTTTTTCAACAAAAAGGGTTCCTAAAACTATCGCTGCAAAAATGGGTTACACTCGTTCCAAAGCAAATTAGCGGTACAACTAAAGGGAAGATATTTTAAATAATTCCGCCGATTGAGTAGAACAACAAGTAAGAAAAAAAGCTTGAAATTACCTCTGCAGCTAAAGCCCTCTAAAACTCTAAGTACCCAAAAATTCCAAATATTTTAAAAGCAAAAAAAAGTAGCATAGGTTTTTAAATTATTAGCACAGAAGAATGATTTCTGAAGTAAATAATGGTGTTCGTTACATTCTTGGAATAGAAAAAGTATAAGTGAACCAAATCCCAAATAAGTACTTCAATTTTATGGCACCTAACTTTTATTCCTTAACCCGCTAATTCTTCTAAATCTCAAAACTCCAATTTAATTAAAAAAAACGTTTCTCTAGAATACCTCCAGAACAAATTTTTGAATCTCAGTAATTTCTCAACCTACTCCAACCTCATTCCGTAATACCTCTCAAAAGGGTTCTAAAAACACTAGCTCAAAACTTCGGAAAATTCAACTACGTCAACTCAACCATTCTTTCTTTAAAAACCTGCCATTCCTTTGGTTGTGATATATCATACCTGCACAGACTTTTTAATAAAAAAAGTTTCACACCGTAATTCTTCCTGCTAATCAATATTTCTCCTCATCAAGCATTGTTATATCTACGTAAAAATCTTTCTTTTTTTTGAATGAGGAATGTAATAAAGTATCTAAAAAAGCAGCTATCTACTTCTAGAAAACAAAAATAAAAAGGAAACTGCGTAAAAAAATCATTTAAAAAAATGTCGATGTTCCATTCTCAATACCCTTGACCCACCCTCTTTCTTTATTTTACACTTTACGGGAAACGAACAGCTCAAAATTATAAAGTAACTCAAAACATACAAGTAACGCCTATACGTCAAGACAAAGTGCTTACTACAGTCTTAAAAGAGCTTTTTACCAGCCATTTACAATCTTCAGCTAGCCCAGAAGTTTCAGAAGTTTCTTCTTTGCGCTTGCGCTTTTGATCCCAGACCGAAAAATTAAGAACCAAGTGGAAATGATGCTACTCTTGACAAGCTAGAAATATACAGCCGTCACATCTATGCTTTAACCGTTCCAGGAACTATGTTGCAGCTCTCAGTCGAAATACCTTTGCCCAAGTTTTGGAAATCCTGAAAACGGACTGAAGATAGTGTACTATTAAATGCAGTTATACGCCAACAAATGCCAAGTGAATTCAGAACTCTCTAAAATGATGGAAAAAGAAGACACTGAAGAAAACAGAAATACAAACAATAGCCATCAAACAAGAAATTTCTTCTAAGTATAACATCGTTTACAGAAATTAATCATTAAAACTGACTAACAGCCCAATGAAACTCGAAACCAATTTTAGCAAAAAACCACCAAGCTGTATGACACTATTTCTTCAGCTGAAAACCAGTAGTATGACCCACAACAAGTCAGTCACAAACACGCTCCACTATATAACCAGCAACTGACTAAAAAACATCTGTTTACCCACAGACTAGAAAACGCCATACAATTACTTTCAAAAAATCGAATTAATTGAAAACTAAAGAATGAACCTATAGGAAATAAAACTGATGAAAAGTTAATAAACAGAAGTTACAGAAGAACCTAATTTGCTTTTGACTAATGAATGTAACCAAATCTCCTTAAGTCGATCAGTAAACGAGTAATTTGCTAATCCAAATTATCGCTACACTTAAAACTTGAAGTTGTTTAACTGAAGTAGAACAATGAAAAGTATTTTGTTGCACACCAGCTTCAACTGCACAGTTAAAATACCCTAACTCTTCCCACAACAAGAAACGTCTAAGAGACAGGAGAATCCGTAAATGCAACAGGAGTACGCGTCATCAACAATTTTGCCAATTTTTTTGTACGCTCTAACAACAGAATAACAACAAATAAACCTCCGCTACGCAAGTTGGCGGAACCAGATCAGAGCTACTGCACCCAACAAATCACGTTACACGTGGTCTAACCGATAGACAAATATCACCCAAAATATTTCAACAGAATGTGGCATCTGCAAAAACTTTAAGAAACACAGTGTCGAGAAAAAGGAACGAGCCGAGGGAGCCACCAGTACAACATTTGTGAAACTCTTAAGCATTAAACTGACCAACGACCTTTGCGTTTTGTATCATGCATCTTTAACCTAACTAGGCATGACAACAATGTCGAAATAAAATAAATGATAAAAAGTAACCTGCAGATGTTACTCAGAAAAAAATTTAATTTCACAGATTTCAAAAGAGAACAAAGATTTTCACTTCCATGCTTGCTCTTTAGGTTTGGCAGATCCGCATTTCCCAGGAGGTAACCCTCTAGCCAAGCTCCTTTCAAACTACGAAGACTCTGTCATTCAATGTGCGCGAGCAAAACAAAAGTTAATTTTCTCATGATTAATAAAACATTTCCAACTTTACAAGGTAAGAGTTTCAGAACAGTTTCAGACACAACTCCTCTAG